ACAATGTGTATTGAAAAATCGTGATCGGGGAGCCCAAGTGGCTCAGCCGGCTAAGCATCTGACTCTTGATTTCGGCTCAGGTCATGATCTCACAGTTCTTGAGTTCAAGCCCACGTTGGGCTCTGCACTGACAACAGGGAGCCTGCTTGGGATTCTCTCCCTCCCTCTCTCTGCCCCTCTCCTGCTCGCTCTCACTCTCTCTCTCAAAATAAATAAGTAAACGTAAAAACGATAGTGATCGCCACTACCACTGAAGATTTTAATGATGGGTAATTAGCAAAGAATCAATAATTCATAAACTCATCATTATTATCAAATAATAAACTCAAAATGTGTTCACTTTTCTCCCCACTACAATTTTTATTATGCTGTGTTAAATATTACATACATTTCCAAATATTGGGGCTTGGGAAAAGCTTTCCCACGCTAGTAAATTTGTTTACTAAATATTCGTTCCTTTTGTGTTAAAAAAAAAAAAAGCACTTTAATGAAATCTGTGGATGATAAATCCATTCACTAGGATATGTAAAAGTGGGAAAAGAATTTGTAATCTATCATTCACCTGGCGACAGTATACAACACAAACACTGAGTGTATGATAAAAAGAATACTAGAATTCCACAGACATGCATCGGTGCCATTGGGTGTTAGTATATTTGGGTATCATAGGCTAGGCTTTGAGTGTAAGGTCAAGCCCATATCCCGAGAAAGCACAACACAAAATATGTTGCTCACTGTGGAAGTGAAATCTGTAACAATTTCCTAGCATCAGAGTAACTGAGGATAAACTCTTTAAAACATACGCAGAGAACACCCTTTGTAAAAAGTGTATTGAGTAGTTTGCCGCTTCACAGATTTGTTTTCAATGGTTAACTGTATCTCATGCAGTTTAACAATAAAAGCGAATTTGTTTCATGTCATAGATACTTGTAAAGCTCCGCTAGTCTTACAACTTTCTTCAGATTCATTTTTGCATATGGGTTAACTGAAGTCGGGATCTCAGAAAGTGATCTGTGTCACTGAGTTTTTACTAAGCCACGTTTTTTAAGTGGTTGGTTGTTAGGACGGTAATAAATTCAATTGTTTATTTTTCTATATGTTTCTTGTCATAGCCTTAATGGATGCTATAAAGAAGAAAACTGGAAATTAACTGTTTTGAAAATAAACTATAAAGATGGTTGTTTATTTTTACAATGAAAACACATCTTGAGATAAACGCTTAAATACATAACCACTGCCAATAAACACTGTTGCTTGGGGGAAGAGAGGGAACAGGTCAAAACACATACCTGGATTGTTTGGCTCTGGTAGACTTTAATTACATGAAAGCTGAAACTGTAAATTCCTTTTCTTGGTGCTACAAAGACAGACTCCAGGGTGAAAAAATTACCCACATTTACTAGGATCTACAAATAAAAAATAATAAAGAACAGTAAATTATTACAATATTCTCTTCCGTAACTAAGACAAGCTTCCTTCCTTCCTTCCTCCCTCCCTTTCTCTCTCCCTCTTCCTCTCTCTCTCTCTCTTTCTCTCTCCTTCTTTGTTTCACAAGTAGCTTAAGAAACCATACAGAATAAAACACCGTGTTCTACTTCTTTCCTCTTTAGTGACTTGGAAAATAGATTTGTGTAATGGAAAGTTCTTCTGTCTTTTAAATGGTACAGGAAAAAAAAAAATAAAGTAACTGCTTTGCATTCATGCCTCAATTTCCAGCGAGGCCTGATAGCTCTGGAAACATCTAGATAACATGTGAGGGCTTATAAATATTAGCTTTACCTTGAGAGTCAGAGAAAAGGCATCTGCCCTGTATTTATATTCCCATCCTCTACAAGCCTTTGCAATGTCCAGAGATGACGTTTTCAAGACAGCCAATCGGCATCCATGGGCTCTCTGCAGTCATTCCTGGACACATCACACAGAGGCCCGGGCACTCCCTCCACCATGTGACATAATCCATGATACTGAATAGTGCACAGACTGATCTGAATGCCTGGCCCTCCCCTGAGCCTCTGCCAAACCTCTCCCAAGATCCATGGCCATTTTTTCATTGCTGTGCCATCTAGGCCTTAATTACAATATTTTGGCAATGACTCAGCCTTTGCAGGCTGCCAAAAAGTGGAGCATGAATAAAGACAGGCTGTGAAATAGGTGGCCTTCTTCTGTTCCTGCCAGTGTTATCCATTATCCTCTTATCAATCACCTGGTCTCTGCTTAAACTTCAAGGGTCAAAAATGAAAAGTAACATAAGGCGCTGTTTCCGAAGAAAGCAACAATGCGCTTTGTATTCCAAGACATGCAGCCTGTTTCTACCGGTTATGAAATTAACTCTGAATCTCAAGAAGTGACCTCTTTACACCAAATTTGCAAATGTCACATAAGGAAGTCCCTTCCTATGGGAAAGCGAGTGGGAATGTTTGGGGCTGGGAAGTTGTAAAATACTTGGAGTTTAATCTAATTCTCTCCAAGAAATAAATCTATAACTGGCATCCCCCAAAATCAGATGTCCCTACAAAGAGACACTTCTACTGTATCAGTGGCCACCAGCAATGCTATATTCCTGCCAATATTAAGCCTTCTGCATAACTCCCTAAAAATATACTATCCCCTCTAAGCAATGCACCAGAATATAGTAACAGGTCAAGCAGATGCGCCAGGCTCAACCCTTGGCTTAAAACACATGTAATGTGTGTAATTTTATTCTGAGATTTCACTTTCTTCCAAGTAACCATCCGATTTCTTCCTCTGACCTGACGATCAATGAGCTTTCAATAACCAATCACCACTGTGCCACACTCCCCAACAGAGATGTTGCAAAGATTTTTTTCAAGCACATTGAAAATAATTTGAGGTACTTAGTGGGGACTTCCTGAATCAGATACAAGTAGCATAATTCATTAGCAGTAATGGAAATGGCTGATTAGTGTTGACTACACATAAGGCTGGATGTTGACTCTACGTTGTAATTAGAGTATCCAGGCACATAGAGATCCATAACTAAATGTGTCTTGTGGTCTCTACGATGCATGGCTCTCCAAAAAGAAGAACAAACCATTCTCTTCTTCTAACTGACAGAAAGGTCACGGAAAAGAATGCACCGTTCAGCGTATTATACGGTGCCCTGTCCGCAATCGTCCAACATTTAATTAAATGCATTGAAATATAACCCAGGGCTGTGCTAGACTTTATTTCCATCAAGATGGAAAATACTGCACCAAAACCCCAAAGGGACTGCTTAATTCTTTAAAAATTATAGCTATCTGAGAGTAAGCCCCAGAGAAGCATTCTCTGTCTGGCCAGCTAGAGAGTGCATTACTTAGGAACAATTAAGGAAGGAATGGAAATGTCACCTCATCCCTTCCCAGACGCATGTTGCAGCATCATTTAACCTGTGCTCCTACACATGTGACTTCGCATACAACTGTGAACTACACAAGTGCCTGTGGAACTAAAAAGACTCTGGATGCTGTTAGGGTTGAAATTACAACCCCGGAGTCAGTTTTCAGTTTTAGGATTCCTTGCGGAACCTAGGCTGATGCCTGGTGGGGGGGGGGGGG